CAGTCTCCCAACCCGTACCCGATCCGGTCTCTCGAACTGTCAAAACCGTTGTGGGAGGTAGATATGGCAGAAGATGTTTCTGTTGCTGCCGAAATTTTGAACATACCCGAAGACGACGATAACTTCGATTCTGAAGATATCAAGCCGGTAATGAATAGTTTTTGAGGCATGCCCGACCTATCACCTTATCCGGTCCCAGTTATCAAAAGTAGAAAGGGAAACATTTCCTACCAGCCTACATCTCATGTCAAAGTTCTACAAACCTTTGACTCGAAGGAAGCACTTAAGCTCGCAGTGAGATTAAAGTGCGTTCATGAAAATTTTCAGATGAAAGTAAAGAAATCTTCCAAACACCGGTACGAGGTGGTGTGTCACTCAGATTCGGACTGTGATTGGCGTTTGATGGCTGTTTCCATCGATGGTACCAGTATTTTTCAGGTACGCAAGCTCCATGATGAACACACATGTTCAAGGTCCCAAGTGTACCCAAACCACCGTAATGCGAATAAAAAGGTTTTGGGTCATATACTGGCAGACAGTCTAAAGGATTGTAGGAGAGTGTACCGTGGTAAAGAAATCATGGAAGATGTGAACCAACTGTTCAATATTAGCATCTTCTACCACCAAGCATGGCGAGCAAAGATGTATGCCTTGCAACTGTTGAGGTGGACACCGGAATCGTCGTTTAACCTACTCCCGGTTTATTGTCACAATCTAAAGCTAGCAAATCCTGAGACTGTGACATAGATCGCTCTAGATCCACTAGGATGATTCGACATGTTGTTTGTCGCACTCGGTTGTTCGGTAATAATTTTGTCATATTTTATAATTATTGTCATAATTTTATGTTCTGAAATTACATTTTTAATCTCGTTCATCTGTGGATTCGATCGTTTCTAGAACACATGAGACCGCTTCTTATAATGGATGGTGCCCATCTGAAGGGGCCGTACGTTGGCACCATGTTCTTAGTGGTCGGCATGGATGGAAACAATGGTATCGTACCCATTGCAATGAGAGTGGGCGGACGGTGGTGGATGGCGGCGGTAGACGGTGGTTGGTGGCGGAGGAGGGTGGTGGACGGCGGCTCTTGACGGTGGTCGTTGGCAGCGGAGGGTGGTTGTTGGCGCCGAAAGGTGGTGAGGGGCGGCCGATGACGGTGGTCGGTGGCGGTGGATGGTGCCCGACGACGGCGGATGGTGGCCGACGGCGGCAGATCACGGTGGTCGGTGGCGGCGGAAGGTCGTCGATGTCGTTATATGGTAGTCTATGACGGTATGTCGAAGAATGGCATCGATATTGGTCGGGATGGTCGGTGGGATGGTCAAAGCTCGGTTTTTCGCTCGGTTTTTCCAGAGAAAACGGGCGGTGGTGGGGATGAATGGTCCCCCACATGCAATTTATATAAAACGTTAAGTAATAAAACAAAATCATCTTCAAATCAACGTCAAATCGACGTCATAGAGTGTCATATCATGAAAAACCGCGAAAATCAGCTATAATGTCTAATTTTTTCTCCAAAAATCAACTAAATATTTTTTTTTCGTAACCACAATTATCATCCGGTTATTTTATAACGAAAAACCGTGAAATTTAAAATTAAATAYGTAAAAAGACACACTTTATGTATTTTTCCATTTTTATTAAAAACATCCCTTAATTGTTAAATAAAAAACACAAAATGACAAAATAGAGGTCAAATTTCGTCAATCAGATATTATATCTGATTTACGAAACCCAAAACAGATAAAAATAATTTTTGCTTCTCCATAATTATAAAGGTTTATTTTTAAACCTTTACCCATGAAATTTGGTTCTAAAAAAGTTAAAAAATACAACTTCAATGGCGTATCAGTTTTATTAAAAATACCAAAAAAAGAAACTAAAAATACCAGGATCGCCCCCGGGGGGCGATCGGACAATCTGGATCATCCCGGGGGCGAGGTCAAACACGGTCAACGAGGTCAAACGCACGGTCAACGAGGAATGAACATTAATTTTTTTAAGACACCTCTAAAATGTGATTATTTTGTGGTAAATGGTTGTATAAACCGGTTATTTTTATAAATTTTCCTTAGCATAACAATATTAAGAAAACTTGTAGATCACAATTTATCTCCTTTACAATTAAAAATTGTTTAAAAGTGTATTTTTTTGAACTAGGAAAATAGAAATTGTTAGATTTTTTACAAGTAAAATATTTATATTGAAAAAAAATATCACATTTAGTTAAAAAAATTGAGTTGACATCTTATTTAATAAATATATTAAATTAATTAGATTATTTCTGAATTATTCATTAATATTGAATATTTATAAACACATTTTATATCGTGAATAATATATTTTTTGAATCAGAAAATTAAATAAAAAGTGTTACGTTTTTCTACAAATAAAATATTTATTTTAAGAAAAAAATATCATTTTTGTTAAAAAAAATGTTACTGTAAAATATTTAATTTACATACTGTTTAATAAGAGTGATTTTTCTGAAAGGATTTTTAAAGAGAAACATAATGTGGGTGAGATATGAATAATCGGTAGAGTAGGGAATTTTTTTAAAAAAAGTGATTGCCACGTAATCAGAATGATGTGTTATCCATGTCATCTCATTTAAGCCATGTAAGCAAATAAAAGTGGGGGTTAACCGGTTTAAAATGTAACAAATAATCCATTGTTATATTGGGTAAATTTTTTAAAAGTAAATTGTTATTCTATACATTTAACCTGCTCGGCCAGACCCGGGACCGCCGGAGGACCGCGACCTAGGGGTGTAAGCGGGTTGGGGTGGGCGGTTTACAACAATTTTACAACCCAACCCAATTATGGCGGTTTGAAAAAATCTCAATCAAACTCAACCCATTCAAAAGTATAACCCAATCCAACCCATTCAAAAGTATAACCCAACCCAACCCTTGCGGGTTGAGGCGGGTTGGGTTGGCGGGTTAGTAGTTACATAATTTGACGAATGAAATAATTCATAAAACTTAAGTTTATGGACTATACTATAAAACGTCCGGTTACAATAAGTTTATAGGATGTTTCAATAAGTGTTTTAGAATGATCTTTAAATAAAATGTCGTATTTGTTATTTTATAGAAATGTTTTGAGAAATCTACCGTAAACTCATCTATTTATAGGACACTTTTGTTCACATGACACTTTTTCAAGTCGTGTTGTATAAAATAACTAATACAACATTTTATTTTAAAAGCATCATAGAATTTGTTAAGACGTTCAAAATCATCTTATAAATATATTGTAACTCTTTTAAATAAAACATTTTTCTAATGTAACTCCTTAAAAGCGTCATAGATTGATTGATTCGTCCATCAAATATCTTTCAATATCATTCATATTCTCCAACATATCAATTTGTTGTTGCTGAAAAAAAAATCAATAATTTTCCTTATTACTTAGATTATTTGTCATCATTCTTTGATCGTGAATCTCTTTTGGTAATCTATATGTTTAGCTAAAATGAAACAAAATATAATATCAACAAAAATTATATAAAATTTATACATTAATAATATATATATACATATATATATATATACACATAATAAGAGGAGCGATCGAATGAAAACCACTCCAATTTGTAAAAACCGTAAAAACTACTCTCATCCGTCGTTAATCTTATGAAATTTTTTCATGAAATTGTTAATTTTATGAAATTGTTTCATATAATACTTTTATGATGAAGTTGTTTCATATGTGGTTATGAAATTGTTTCATATACTACTTAATGAAATTTTAATGAAACTGTTTTATGTATTTTTCTAAAATTAAATTAATGAAGATGATAATATCCATGATTAACACCCTCCACAATAAAAATGGTTAATCAACCTCTCATAATTACAAAAAAATGAACAAAATAAAAAATTATGATTGGTTGAATGAGGTTTTCACGGGTTTTATAAATTGAGTGGTTTTTATTTGAACCCATCCCTACATAATAAACATATATATATATATATATATAAATAAAATTTTATAAAAAATTATATATTAGTGGCGGCTTGGGCGGTTTCAACCCTCCTAATTAGCGGGTTAGCAGGTGGGCGGTTTGGCAGTTAGGCGAGTTGGGTTTAACTGAGTTGTTAGCAGGTTGGGTTGGATGGGTTTCGCGGGTTGGCCTTTTTTTGTACACCCCAACCGCGACCGGCAAAGGACCTATTGAGACCGGGACCGGCGGCCTATAACCGGTTATGAAGTACCTTAATCGATCCTATCATTTTCGACCTGGACCGGGTTCGGTTATGAGAAAACTTGGGACCGATTAGGCCCGACTCGGCCCGGCCCGGGACGGGTTTTGGCCATCACTAATTTAACCTTAAAAAGAATCAATACAAAGAGGCCCAATTATTTATCAAAGCCCAATCCATTTCTTTTGGGAAAGGCCATCATCAGTTCAACTTAGTTTCACTGTTTCACTTTCACATGATCCAATCCATTTTCGTAAGTGCCATCAGCCCATGTTAGAACTGAACCGCTGAGGCGCTGAAGGTCATTTCGGAAGGTCGGATCGGTTCGGGTTTTCGGAAAAAGAACTTCCGAGAGAGCGTTTGTTTGATTCAGACTTTCAGAGTTCAACAGGAAGTTAACAATGGCGACCAAAGTACTCATGGTAAGAGAATTCTTCGTTGCTCTTTCCAGCGTTTTTCAGCAATTCAACTTTCAAAATCTACTCACTTGTTATATTTCGATTTATTCAGGTTGCGGAAAAGCCAAGCATCGCTCTTTCAATTGCTACAGCACTGTCCGGTGGTCGAGTAAATCCTTCCAACTCCCATTTTGTGCCTCTTCTATCGTACTAGTTACATTTGTAACTATGTGAAGTTGATATTGGTTTTGAATAGCTGATTAGCTGTTGAACTTTTCAGATAGCTACGTTAAATTATGACATATAGTTTAAATTGCAATTGTTGGCGTTTTTGTGCCGAGCGACTTAGGTTTTTCCTCCTTTCTTGTTCATCTTCCGCATTCAATCTTTTCATTGATTGATAGTCATTCACCCTCTTCTATTTTTAAGTTGCATATGATAGTAATTCACCCTCTTTTATTTTTAAGTTGCATCTTCTTCTTTGTTTCCTATCTTGATGTAATTATACTCCATTGAAAACCTACGAGTTGGGAGTGACAAGAATGAGAGACAAAATTGCTCAATACTATGTTGACACACATTTAAGGAGATTCAGTTTACTTGGGTAAATCGGCATTCCATACCAAGTACATTTCACACCATATGTGCAAAATGATGCATGCATTGTACATGAGTAACTTTTTTGGGTTTATTCAAAACAATGAAAAACTTTTTAATGTTCCCTTTTTTGTGTTTCTCCCCAATATAGATGTACTGAATCTTCATGATTTGTTAGCACAAACCATGCAATTTAATATCAACGTTGTTGCTTTTTTGGTTTATTTTACAAAGAGGGGATGCATTTCTTTCATCTTTCACTTTGGAGCATTTGGCTATTTTCTTTTGAAAGGAGGGGGTTATCATGACCCGTGACATAGAAGGCATTACCAAGGAGATGTGTATAAATTACCAACCTAGATGCTTAATAAGATTTGGTTATTCTTGTTATGTTTTTCTCAATGGCACTTGAAACCTTGATTAGAAAATGAAGTTGATTATGCATGTGAAATCAGTAAACAGAGATTGAAGAATGAGCATGTTTAGTCTACGATCTTAGAACTGTTAATCTGAGGTTTGCAGGTTATAGATTTCGATGTAGAGAACTTGGATAGTATATGGATCGTGAATCGAATCACTATCTGTAAATACACACTCAAGATTTATAGGCAAAATCGTGAGCAAAATACACAAATGTTGTGTTTTTCGATATATTTAAATGAGTAAGTAGTTTGCCAGTTAGTTTGCGGTGGTTATGTAGTTATCTGTGGATAAGATCAATTATCAAATAAGTACAAGTATGCTCTTTATGATCTCGGCTTATGATTCAATTGCCATGTATTTAGCTATTGAGCCTCGCCCCTGCCAGTACTGGAAGTGATAATAAAAGTGGGAATGYTGTCACTAGAACGGACCACACAAATAGGGGTGATCTATGCATAGTCATCTCTAGACCGCATGAAAAATCCTGGCCTTCTCATAGCCCTACTTTTAACCTAATTAACAGAGATGCAGTAATTTCCTACTTAAGATTCAGATGCCTATGTTGCTGCTGATGTGGAGAAATTGGTACCAGCCTACTCGTGATCTTCCTTTAGCTGGGCACGCACCTTGTCAGTAAGATGTGGATATCAATTATGAAATAACTACCAATGGATAAGATCAAATGGTAACTGCACCAAAGTTTAGAAAGCAACGTGCCTTCTGAATTCTAGACCCACTTTCTAAAGTGGAAGTTCAGAAACCAACACATTTGTGAATAAACTTTAGAATCCTACACGTCTTCTGAATTTATACTTAGTGCATACCGTTTTGAGACGGCACCCCCAAAGGGCTCTGCCCCTTAGAACCCCGCAGGGGTGCGGCCCCCATGACCCCCACTTTGTGTCTTAAGGTCCATGGTAGCTAATTCAAGCTTGCACTCCGCACCTCCTAATTCATATTATAGCTTAATCAATGAAACCCCATCGATCTCAAGTAAATAACTACACTAAATTGCTTGTTGACACTCAAATCACCAAGAAGAACTGATATGGTGGGCGACTTATTGGGCAGTTCTTTTGTCCCACCACTGATATTCAGTTTCATGAATTTCCAGAGGTTAAGGATAAATATGTATTACTTTGAATGGCCTTGGTTTTAAAAAGCGCGATGCGGTCCGATGCATTAAGGGTCCCGGAAGCCGATGCGTGATGCGCCCGGTATTCAAAAAATATTTATAAATTAATTCTACATATCAATTTCTACCTTAAAAATACTTACCTATCAAAATACTTCATTTATAACATAAAGTAGTTAAAAAAGTGGCATTAGAATCTTAAAAAGTTCGTGAATCAGAATAACAGAAGTACATAACATACAAACTACTACCATGAAGAACACAATTACACAAGTAAATGTCTAATAGTCCTAATCCCTAAACTAAATGACCAACCAAGTGACCAACTAATACTCCCCAAATAGACTACTGCTGCTGGTGGACCGCTGGTATTGACTATCGAGTATCGACTACTGCTGTCGGCTTCTAAGTTCTATCGATTAGGTCGCTTCGCTACTCGCTACTCGCTAACAGTCAGTCACTCACGTTCTATCGCTAACAGTCACTCAGGTTCTATTTTACATAACTAAGAAGCCCAACTAAAAAAAGCCCAACTAAAAAGCCCAAGTAAACACTAAAAAAGGGAGCCCAAAACGCAACATACATGATGCGYTRATGCCTAAGTGATGCACGCATCGTGTGATGCGTAGGTGATGCGTTCGCATCATGGAATCGCATCGCATCAGACTCGTTGATGCGTTCTATCCAGCGCATCAGAGCGCATCACGCATCAGAGCGCATCACGCATCAGAGCGCATAATGCGCGCATTTTTAAACCAAGTGAATGGCTAATTTGGTACTTCAGTTATTCTTACACATCCATGCTCTTGCTACCGCACTTCCCATTTTGTTGTTTTTGGCATTTGTTTTAAAATCTGTAAGGTGGATTCCAAGTGTGGAATTGTGGGAACAGTTGGTAGCATTTTCTAACAGAATGGCATAAGCACATATAGCACACAGTTAACCCCTTACAATTGCCGAAATCCCAGGAAAATGATTCCTGAGTGTGAAGCTTACCTATGAATCGAAAGCTATTAAGAATCTGATTCTCTTATTGAAGTTCATTTATTTAGCAATTGTATCCAGGCTTCAGTGTGTAATCATCATTCCTATATAATAATTTTCCGTTTGTGGTACTCTGTCTAGTTAATTTTACTTATTTTGTAACTACTGTTATTGTTATTCTCTCCATTTTACAGTATTAGAACTCTTCTTTTCTTAAGTAACATTTGCTCTTATATTTTGGAAGAGAGAGGGTATCATCTGCATTATATAGAAACAAATGACCATCTTCTGCATGAGGTTGGACCATCCTGTTTAGTCATTGTATTTCTGATTTTCTGATTTTCTGAATGTATTACTTTTTAGAGGAAGCTCTGGAATTGATCACTACTTACCTTATGTTATGTTTAGATGCTGTATTTCTCATAAGGATTTTTCTGGATTTACAACTCTGATTTTGCAGATGTCATCACGAAGGGGTAGTACGGAGGTTCATGAGTTTGATGGTACATTTTTAGGGTACCGGGTACAATATAAAGTGACATCAGTGATTGGTCATGTTTTCAGGTTTCCCTTTCCTTGAGAATATCATAGAATATTTTATTAGTAGTTATTGTTAAATTAAAACTATACTTATGGTTTTCAAAAAGTTGATGATTTGGGTGGTATAGATTCATGTGGTAAAGTGTATTATTTTTCTGCATGTATATTCAGGTTTGACTTTAACATATCTTACTATCTACACTTCTTTTTCTGCAAATCTAGTGTAGATTTTCCACCAGCTTATCAAGACTGGGCAGCCACAGATCCTCTCAGTCTTTTTCAAGCTCCAGTTGTCAAGTCAGAATCAAACCCGAAGGTACTGCTTTGTTGCAGTTATCAGTTCCTCTCAATTGTGCAATCAATTGTAGTTCTAATATGAAAATCCTTGTCCAAGTTCATAGAGGATGCTTTTCAATGTTGCTGTTAGTTAACAGATTGATTTATTGTGTATGGAATCTCTTCCCAATTTGAATTTCTTACAATCTAGTGATTAGTGAAATATCTATGCATGTGACATCTAAACTATGGTCTTCGTTACTGCTGAATTGCGACACTAAGCATGGAAAAATACCCATGATACAATTTGTGTTCTTTAAAAGGTTATTTGATGCTAGATTTTGTAGGTCATGGAGATGTGAATTCTCTCAGGAAGTCTTATTGTTTATAGGTTCATTGCTTCATTCATAAACTTTATGTGACTGGTGTGGCAAACGAACCATAATTTTCTCAATCTACCATCCACCTATCACAAGATGACAGAATCAAGGACTTATTCGTTACGGATGGCAGATGAGTCATTATTGGTTGTTGTAGCTGTTATTGGTGTTACTTATCTAACATAATGTGATCAGATTAGAAATTTACATATTGATAATACAATGATGAAAAGGCATGAATGAATATATTTAAAGCAACCTGCGTAAAAACAATAAACTTTATCCAATTCATATTGCTTCATTACTCTCTGGAAAACACGGTGAGCCATTGCAACTTTCTGCAAGATTGGTGCTTGATACCATCATACCAAGGTGAATATATGTGATAGGCTATTGGCAACACGGAAACACCATAGACATGAGAGAGAGAGAGAGAAGAGAAAAAGAAAAAGGGATATTTATTTGAAGTCTATAGTTAGGAAACATGAGACTTTATTGTTCCGTACATTAGTGCCCATTCCTTGCAACTTGTGCTTAATGATATTGAACCAGTTTAGAAAAATGGGATACTCAATACCATTTTTTGTTCTTTTAGGTGTTCAGCAATCTTAAGATTGTTAAGAAGTGCTCTTGTTGACAAACTAGTGGCTCTTACATTTGCATTTGAGTTGACCTTTCGATGGGTCAATGATCTTGTTAATACTTCACCTTCTACTATTACACTTCTTTATCTACAGCATTTTTCTTGCTTATTCAAGTTATTGAACGGTCCATGCATCATCTTAACTAGGTCACGAACAATGTCAACTTTTGCTATATTAAAATGCAACTTACATGGATTGCTTTGCGCTTTGATAAATCCTCACACGAAACCAGCGATAGGTAGCTGCTTGCATCTCTAATCTAGGTTTTGGCTATCTACTCTATAAATTATTTATCAACTGAGGTACTTCAGAAACTGCTATCTGCATTATTTTGTTTTAATACAACTACTTCCTTTACATAAACCTACTTGCTTACTAAATCTTCTGTAACAAGGCTCATATTCGTCAACATCTAAACCGGGAGGCTCGTGGTTGTGGAGATCTGGTACTGTGGTTGGACTGTGATCGTGAAGGAGAAAATATATGCTTTGAAGGTATTGTTTTTTTAATTTGAATGGTGATGGGTATAACTCATTTGCAGTGCAATTTTTGACAGTAGAAACACTGTGTTGTACTATAAGTTATTGACAATTTTGGGTTAGAATTGGTAATTTGATGTTCTTTGTTCAATTCAAGATGCCCCTTTTCCTAATTTTGCATTTGCTGATTTGGTATGAGTGTACATGCGACTTGTATCCTTGCACCTTACTTTTCATTATTGAGTGCGAGTTTTATAATAGTTTTCATGCTATAAGGTTCAAATTTTTCTATGTCGGGTCTTCTGAGACTGATATTGTTTGTTAAGACAAAGCTTCATCATGCCCTTGCGTAAGGATAGTCAGAGGTCTTTTGGCTATTTTGTTGCTATTTTAATTGCTAAACTTTTGCTCAATGCTTGTATGAACATCCATTAACATAATTAATTCTAGTCAGCATTTCCTCAATTTATATTTTCTTGCATTCAGTTATCGAGTGCACGGGATTTGCCAATGATGGTAGAAGAGTTCATCGTGCACGATTTTCTTCTGTGACGGAGAAAGACATTATCCATGCTATGAAAAATCTTGTTGAGCCCAACAAAGACGAGGCATTGGCTGTAGATGCTCGGCAAGAAATAGATCTGAAAGTTGGAGTTGCATTTACACGATTTCAGACTACTTATTTCCAAGGAAAATATGGAAATCTGGATTCTAGGGTTATCTCGTAGGTTTCTTGTTCTATATCATCCTCTCAGTTTTATCCAACAAATGATAGTCTTGGGGCTGGATGCTGGAATGGAACCCAGATCCCACGTCATGAAACTTCTTTCTAAGTGGAAGATGCTGAAAATCCTTATTCCCTCACAAATATAAACCCGTAATATATCTTTGATGTTTTTCTCCTCAGATATGGCCCATGTCAAACCCCTACCCTTGGATTTTGTGTGCAGCGCTACCTTCACATTAGTACTTTCAAGCCAGAAAAGTTTTGGGTTGTGCTTCCTTACATAATAAAGAATGGTTTTGAGCTAAAGCTGGAATGGAATCGTAATAGGTTGTTTGATCATGATGTGAGATCCTTGCTGCTTTAATCCTTCATTGATATAAGGCATGTCTGATTGTCTGTGTCCTTTGCTAATGACTTCTACAACCACCAACAGGTGGCAGAGATGTTTCAAAAGTTAGTAGCAGAAGATGCAGTTGTGAAAGTTATCAGTACGTCAGAAAAACAAGAGAGCAAAGGTCGCCCTTCTGGTCTTAATACGGTGAATCTTTTGAAGGTCAGGAAACATTGGGGATATGGAAACACCATCTTATCCTTATTCCACGAATTTTTTATTGATGTTATCCTTCACGCACTACTTTTTAGATAAACACACTTCCATACTTGTTCATCTTTTAAGCTGTTTTGTCCAAATTTGTAGTTATAGATCGTTAGGAAAATTTCAGGAAATTTCGTTTGTGCCTAGCAGCATAGATACGACTTCCAATTAGTTTCAATGTGCCTATTTGGTTGGTCTGTAAAAGGAAACTTTTCAGGTCGTTTTGGTCTTTCTGTTATTATTTTTTGCTGTTTCAAGTTCCTGAAAGGTGGTACCCAAAAGCAGCGCTCGTTAATTCTGTGCACATGAGCTTTGTTGTAGCAATCATCTTGTTGTTAAAACTCCTTGTAGTTCACTTCAAACAGATGTGAAACATGATTGTGCACCCTGTTTGATGGTGTAACCATGTTCACTTCCATACTTCTTCGTTTACTAGGTACATTCTAAAATAAACTTTGTGATTTGAGTTGTTTATGACAAGTCGCGTTTATATAATAAATAGATTTCCTGTCTTGACTATCGAAGCCCTGTCAATAAAGTATTTTAGTAACAAGTTTATATTAATTTAGGTAAAAAATATCACCCTTTAATGCAGTCTATATCAATGAGGCATGTGAATATCATCAATTTAGAAGTATAAAAGCTTCAAATTCTTTGTCATGATGTTTGTAAATTACCAACATGCTTAATGTAAAAGGTGGTGCATAACAATCATTTGATATTATTTCAACAAACCAGGTTGCTTCAAGTGCACTAGGGTTTGGACCTCACCTGGCCATGCAATTGGCTGAGCGCTTGTATACCCAAGGTTTTATCAGGTATGGCTTCCATAGTTGATCACAAATAATTTCACCCATGGGTGATTGTAGAGTGTCAAATGATGGTTTAAAGATGCTATAGATGCAGTTATCTTTTTATTTCCTCCAACCATCTTTTTGTCATCAACAGAAGGTGTATCGAAATGAATGATGTTGTGTAATCACAAGTGTTGACAGAGAGGTGTCTCTCTCTCTGCTTTCTAGTGCATCGTGTATATCAGCTTGGCTGTTGGATATGGCTTTATTTTAATATAAAGAGTAAAGATAGGCAAGGTCCACGGGAATAGGTTTTGATGTCCTGATTACATATGGCAGATTATGACTTCAGACTGACAATTTTACGTCAGAGCATGCAAAAGATTCAGTTAGTGCAATTAAACTTATAGAAAGTTTGCTGAGAGTTTAAGCATTTATTCTGAGGAAAACAAGGTGTAGTTATACATAGCCGAGATAAGTTGGACAAATACTGTTTCTAGTTTGGTTGTTCAACGTGATTTACATGGGGCAGGGGTAAGAGAATAAAGAAAGTAGGTAAGGCACCCTGACATTATTTTCAATTATAACTTCTATTTGATAATACAAGGATGGCGAAGGGCGGAAGCGTGTGTGTGTATGGTTTCTAGTGATGGAAATTTTACCCGTCAAGTCGGGTACCCGTCCCGTTATTCCCCTTCTTATTGGGTAACAGGGAGGGGACGGATTTTGCTTTTCATATCCGCAGTGGGGTTGGCGATGGTACTTCCCGCCCCTAATAATGCCCAATATACATATTTTAGTATATAATTTGATTAATTTCCTTTTTGTTGCTCAATAATTTTATATTTTTAAATTTGTCATGAACTATGATTATATGTGGTTGGTTATGTCATTGTGTGTTTTGAAACTTGAGGTTTATTTATTTGTTTTAAAAAATAAAAATTCATTTTTTATTTTCAACTTATAATACATAATTTTTTTATATGGGTACCCAACGGGTTCCACGTACCCGTCAGGGAACTCTTCCCCTGGGGTTAGGCAGGGTTGGGGGATGCATTCCCTGCCCCATTTCTATCTCTATTCTTCCCTTTTTTGGGGGGCGGGGGGTGGGGGGGCGCTGATCTACAATAGCCTTTATTTCTTCTTACATATTTGTCTATGCACCACTATTGGGACAGTAGATTGATAAAAAATGTGAGATGGTGGAGTGCAGCCTAAATGTATGTGCATCAAGTCTTTTACCTTCTTTATGTCTGTTTCCCTCTGGTTGATGTTCCAGCTATCCACGGACAGAGAGTACGGCATACCCTTCATCATATGACTTTAAAGGAACTCTTGGGACTTTGGTGAGTAATTCAGTATGGGGTAGTTATGTCCAGACACTGCTCAGCAATGGTTATCATAAACCCCGATCAGGAACTGATGTAGGTGACCACCCGCCAATTACTCCTATGCGATCAGCTAATGAAGATATGCTAGGTGGAGATGCCTGGAGACTTTATCAGTATGTTTGTCAACATTTTCTTGGTACCCTGTCTCCTGACTGCAAATACGTAAGGTAATGGATCCATCACACTAGATTATTCTTACTGGCGTGAGGGCAGATGAAAAGTTCACACCCTCGGTGAAACTTTACATACATTGTACTGTTTCGTTCATATCTCCAAGGATGTTTTTCTGGCGTAACTTAATTGTTGTAAATTGTAGATAATTCCTGTGTGGTTTACTACTTGCATTCACAATACTTGTTAGAGCTGCAACCTTAATGGGTTGGTTTGGCTTGGTCTGTGAACCCAAGTAACCCAAATAAAAAGATCAACCAAACTGATTCTAACTCAATATATAAACTATAGTTATCAATCCATATTCATCCCAACCCAAACCAGTTTTAATGGATTATGTTGAAATTGGGAATCAAGCTGTAGAATCTTAAATAATATTAATTGTTATTCTAGCTTACTAGTTTTTGTAGAAGTTATTCCCTTTGTAAAATGATATGCACACTTACTACACACATTTCTAGACTACATGTTCACCCTTAACTCTCATGTGTATACTTTATCACTCTATACTCATATTTTGCTGTATTACATGTTTGGTTTAAAAATAATTAAAGTCATGCAAGCACACATTCCCTCAAAAGTTATGATGCAAATTTAGCCTATCTAAAGAACCATTTTCTCTTTCTAGAATCGTGTCGTGGATGCGTTTTTTTTTTTGTCCTTACATAATACTTCCTCTTGAAAAGCTTGTACTTTACTCTATAGATGCATATGTATATATTGTCTATCTGTAAAGTAATAAACAGCATCTTGTTTTCTCTAGAATCCTTCATTTCTCTGTCTAAAGGAACTCAAATCTCACTTCCTCTAGAGTGACATATACATTGTATTTTAAATTCTCTTAGGGGCGTCCACCCATCCCCTTCTATACTTGCGAGTTCAGAAAAGCAAATAAATTAATTTAATACACTATATAAAATCTGTTTTAAATGGGGTGAACTGGTCGAATATGGTTAGCTGGGTATTTAATAAATTCTAATTGAAACCAACCTGTATTGTTTCAAATACAAATTATGTTAAACCCAGCCCAAATAGGTAGTATGGAAAACCCATCTCAATCCATTTCGTTGTTATTTGGTTTGGACAATGAACACATTGTTGAACCCACCTGACCCTATTTACATCCCTAACATCTCCTCACAATCATGCATCAGGACAAAATACAAGTGTTCCTTTTCTTAAAGATCAATTGTTGTTATATCTTTTTAATACGAGGGAATATGGCTCATTTACTTTTAGTAATTTTTTCCCTTTACCATGAGGGTAGAGGTCTGGTATCTAGGCTCATATCATGCTCTGGATATGGTTCTGTAACACTGTATGGTCTGTGATAGATTTATTTTGCCATAACTGGTTCTAATTGTTGATAGGAAAAAGATCGAGTTTTCTGTGGGTGGAGAATTCTTCCATTGTGTTGGGCAGCACGTCACAGTGAAAGGATTTACAGCAATAATGCCATGGTTGGCAGTGCCGGAGAAAAATCTACCTCAGTTTACAGAAGGGGAGAAAATAGAGATTTCAAAGGTTGAGCTATATGAGGTACTGTTCTGAGTAAGAAATAGTTTTAAATTCTTTGAATTTTACCTTCCCTGCTAATCATAATGTTTGTTCGTTTTTCGGCTTTTGCTTTATCAAACAATATTCGCTTTGAGTTTTTTTGCTTATGCCTCTGTATTACACATTTATCTTTCATGCCAAGACGTTTTAATATTTTTAGCCCCGCACTCCTCATTACATTGGTATATTGGATCAAGCTTTTGAATAAAAAGCAGATTCTTAGCAAATCTTCGCTGGTTTATGCCACCTAGTAACTGTCTCTGCAAACTTTACAGGGTAAAACTGCGCCTCCAGATTACCTGTCTGAGAGTGAGCTGATCTCTCTAATGGAAAAGCATGGAATAGGAACAGATGCATCCATTCCTGTTCACATTAACAACATAAGTGAACGGAACTACGTGAAGGTCTGTTAATCTATACTTATAAAGTAAGAAAAACTTCGTGGATAAATACATTAAACAACTTCGCGGAAAATTACATATTGCTTGCTCCGAGTGTGCATGGAAGTAGTGTTTTATTCATTCTATCTTCAAACTGCAGGTAGAGGCTGGAAGAAGGTTGGTTCCAACGGTTTTGGGTGTTAGTCTTATAAGAGGATATCAATGTATAGATGCAGATCTTTGTTTGCCCGACATACGAGGTTTCATAGAGCAGCAGATCACTCTCGTTTCTAAAGGTCAAGCAGATCATTCGCTTGTTGTGCAGCATGTACTTGAACAATTTAAACAGAAGTTTAACTACTTTATTAAGCAGGTAATCACTTTAAACCCGTTCTATTTGGATTGTCCTGTTAACACGTTCTATTTTTGTGGCAAAGTTTGTAGCTAAGGTATTTGTATGTCTACCATCAGTACTATTAATTATAAATGCTATTGATTTTGGTATTTCTGATTGATGGTGGTTCTTCTACAGATTGAAAATATGGACGCATTGTTTGAAGCACAATTTTCTCCTCTTTCAGACTCTGGACGTTCACTTAGTAAATGTGGAAAATGCTTACGATATATGAAGTACATCGCTATGCTTCCATCACGGCTATACTGTAATACATGTGAGGAAGTCTATTATGTTCCTCAAAAGGGCACAATTAAGGTAAGGAATTGCCAAATTGTCTTTTTTTTTTTTTTGTGCATCTAAGCAGCACCAATGTGGATTTTTGTTACCACCATTTTGCTAGCATTCTTTTACATATGCTACACTTCTAAATACTCCCTTTTGCCCTCCCTTCATGAAAGCTACAGTTCCTTTCTAAGATGTTCCATGAAAATTGCAACATTTAACTGATTTCATCTATACGAATAAATTTACCAAAAAGAATATTAAAAAAATTGATCATGAAGCATGTATTGTTCTCTTCTATGGGGCATACATTAGTTTCTAAACATGATCTTCTCTAATTAGTTCCATTTTTCTCATTTGGCAGCTGTACAAAGAACTAACATGTCCTCTGGACAACTTTGAGCTTTTGCTGTTTTCCATGGCTGGACCAGATGGCAAGTCATTCCCTCTTTGCCCTTATTGTTACAACAATCCTCCATTTGAAGGTATAGACACATTATTTGGTGCCCCCAAAACTGGTGGTTCGGTCAAGTTGGGAAAGGGCGTTGGGATGCCTTGTTTTCTCTGCCCACACCCTACGTGCCGCCATTCCTTGATATCTCAAGGGGTGTGTGCCTGCCCAGAGTGTGACGGGACCCTCGTTCTTGACCCGGTCAGCGCTCCCAAATGGAGGCTTTATTGCAACATATGCAATTGTCTTGTTTTGCTTCCCCAAGGTGCTCATCGGATAAGCACAACCAAGGAAAGGTGTCCTGAATGCGACTCCACCATAATAGAAGTGGACTTTAATAAGAAAACAACACCTTTGAAGGATGGAGCTACACTTCATGTTGGATGTATTCTTTGTGATGAGTTGCTTCATTCGCTCGTGGAAATGAAGCATGGGAAGTCATTCTTTAGACGTGGCAGAGGGAGAGGAAGAGGTAGGGGAAGAGGCAGAGGACGACGAGGTGGTAGGAACCAAGACCCCAAAATGAGCTTTCGAGATTTCTGAAAACAATGAGGGGCATTTGTATAATTTGGTTTTCGTTTGGTAACATGTACGAGATAATGCACTTACTAAACAAATCTAGGTCTGTTGATACAAAATTGATAGAAACTTTTTATTAATTTTTTGATAGAAATTGAAAATGCATTAGAAGCTGAAGATGAAAGAGATGAAACACCAGAAGTTACCAAAATTGCAGCTATTCCAACACCCTGTTGGTACACGAACGAGAGTAGCTATTACAACACCCTGTTGGTACACAGACGAGATTGGATTGACAAGAGTGAGGTAAGCGGATGAAAGAATTGTGTAAGGTTTTAGGGTTTTAAAATTTGAGATGAATAGTTTAATTGTGCAAGGTTTCAAGGTTTTAGTACTTTACTAATCTTGTCCCATCTTGATTGTTGGTCCATCGAGGACAGAAAAAATGCATTGTTATCTCACTCGGGTCCAATTTTGTCCCGGTGTAACATCCCATCAAACATGGCATAACAATAGTTTTTGTATTGTCTTGTGTACCAAAACGCATCCAAAGATGCAACAATCTGAGGAAACAGTCGCAGCCACACTGGTAAACTTTGTTGCCATTGGTTTCGCAGGCAACGTCGAAGCAAGTACCATTTGTGTCGATATCTCAAGGTAAGAACTTCCTGCTTTGAATTTTATACTCACATTTGCCCAATATATATATATAAAAGCTAGAACTATAACCAATCATATTTTGAAATTTATACTATACACCATAAAATCCAGGCACAAAGCAATCGATTTCTAAAAAAAATAAATATGATAAAAAAGGTCAAATCACAATCAGTCTATAACGGTACAACTCATGAAAGAACTCTTGTTTTCAAGAACAACAAGAGTATCTGCTTCGACTTTGCTTTGAACCATCAGCACCATTGTTTGAAAGCGTTACCCTGTTCACAGATAACTCGGCTTTATATGAATCAGAATTCAATACTTTACGACTAACGTTGTTGTAAATCTCCTTAATAACTAACTCGAAAGCTGTTTTAACGTTTGTGGAATCAAGTGCAGATGTTTCCATGAAGAACATTCCTTCTTTCTCTGCTAGGTTCTTGCCATCTTCCACACTTACAGCTCTAATGTTACCCAAATCACATTTGTTCCCCACCAACATCATTGCCACTGTTGTGTCTGAATGAGCTGCATCATACAGTTTCACTACCCATTATGATGCTTACAAATATATGTTTAACAACCGAACAAAACTGCTTACAAACACACCTTTTAGGTGAAAAAACTATAAAAGCATCTTCAATTCAAGATTCTTATTAGCAAAAAGCACAGTGACCTGTAACAACTACCATTGTTTAGAGGTTCTTAGATGTATTCTAGGTGCTTGAACTAGAACCTTGGTTGACCATGGAGTCTGTTAGAATTGACATTTTCTTTATTTTTTATTTTGTTTTTCGATTTTATAATTATTGATGTCGAAAGATCTAAGTATTCCGATGATGAAGAGTCAGCAATACCAAATAATACAACAGTACTGTTTGTTACTAGGAGACAGATTCCAGGATCTCCGTTACCACTTTTTTAACTGTAAACAAGAGGTCATTCATATTCCTTGGGAGGTGTGCTCCCGATGTTTAGCACATATATCATGATCTAGAATATGAAGTTGTTTAATTATAAGAATTCAAGAGTTATATGTACACCAAAAGTGGTAGGATAAGTGAATAAACTAACTTTTGAGTTCTTCAAGCCATCTGGGAACGCTATCGAAGGTAGTGGTACGAGTGATATCGTAAACAATGAGCGCACCAACAGCACCGCGGTAGTAAGCGGAGGTAACGGCACGGAAGCGTTCTTGACCGGCGGTGTCCCAAATCTGAGCTTTAACCTCCTTGCCATCGATCTCCATGTTCTGAGTCTGGAACTCAACTCCGATGGTGGCCTTGGAGTGCATATTGAACTCATTCCTAGCGTATCTAGAAAGCAGGTTTGATTTGCCGACTGCCGAGTCTCCGATTATGACTACTTTGAACAAATACTCCTCTCCTTCATCGTCGGATGAGTCCATTTCTGCAGTAGATGGAACAGATGAATTTTTGGAGGAAGAAGAAGAGGAAGAAAGGGTAATTGCCAGAGAGACAGGGGTGCGTTGTTTGTGGACCCTTTTGGCAAGCGGTAGACTTAAGTCAATGCCTACGCGCCCACACCCCTCCCACGGATATTTGCAGGTATATAATCTTGAATAATGAAATTTTAGTTAAATCCATTGAGATTGTTTATTTGAGACAACTTATGTATTTTTATAAAAGTTTTTATTAATTTATTATAAGTTAAAATAGTTTAATTTCATCAAAAACGTCTTATTATCGGTTTGGCAGCGGTATAAACTGTTTATTCAAACATTTAAAAGTGCTTATTACCGGTGTCATATCGAAATAAATCAATAAGTTGTTTCTATAAGCAATTCTAAACACCCCCTGAGTATAAATTAATTTTTTCTTATATAGTTAGAAGGTGATGAATTTAATTAAAAACTCAATTAAAATCATTAATCTAAATGACTTTACCACCCTTGTATTATATTTGGTTTGAATGGTTTTCTGAATTTAAAATTCCGAATTTTCATTGAAATCTCGGGATTTTGAATTCCTATGGGATGGTTGAGATTTTATAGGATTCCACATGATTTGTATATAATAATATTCTAAAATATATTAAATTGTTTTTTAATAATTTACTAATAAAAAAATAATTTAATCTATCAAACCAAACAATAACATAACAAAAATTCTAGATTTTATTAAATTCAAATCCCTCGACTCTAAATTAAATTTTTTTCACAAAAAATTCAAATATCGTCAAATCGTATGACGTCTTAGGGCTGTTTATTTGGCTCTTAATAGTGACATTAAGAACCAACTTCTTAATCGATAAAAGATAAAATATGTTTGGCAAAAAAAAAACAAACCTTTAATGGTTACACAAGCCTCTTAGAAGTTAGAGGTTTGAGCACGTGTATACGGCGTGTTGGAGTAGAGAGTGGTGGAAAACGGAGTGATTAAGCGTGACGGTGATGATCACGATCCCATGTCCATCAATATCATTAACTTGTGGGCACCACCCAATTCCCCTTCAATTTTATTTATAGAAAAAAAAATACAATATTTTTTTTTATTTAAAAAGGAAAATTGTATTAAAATGGAACCAACTTTCATCTAATTCTTATTTTGGGGAACCAACTTTTAAAATTGTCATTTTAGATAACCAACTTACACCTGATTCTTATTTTAGGGAACCAATTTGCAAAATAATTATAAAAAAATAACAAAAATTCGTTTTTTTCCAAAAATTAATGCAATAGAATCTATTTTTTTATTTCAAATCTCATTTTTTTTAATTCAGATATCAAATTGAACATTTTAAAAAAAATCCAAATTACCACAATAAAAATTGTTTTTACTAATGCAAAAAAATCAATTTAATAGAAAAAAATTAATTGATGCAATAAAAATAAATATTAAATATCACATTCAAGATTTTTATATCTRACCAATTGCATCAATTAATTTTTTTCTATTAAATTGATTTTTTTTTGCATTAGTAAAAAATAATTTTTATTGTGGTAATTTGGATTTTTTTTAAAAATGTTCAATTTGATATCTGAATTAAAAAAACGATATTTGAAATGAAAAATATATTTTATTGTATTATTTTTTGGAAAAAAACGAATTTTAGTTATTTTTCTATAATTATTTTGCAARTTGGTTCCCCAAAATAGGAATAAGGTGCAAGTTGGTTCCTCAAAATGACGATTTTGAAAGTTGGTTCCCTAAAATAAGAATTAGATGAAAGTTGGTTCCATTTTGGTACAATTTTCCCTATTTAAAAACATAAATTAGCACTTTATGGATCTTTTTCAGAAAATACTTTTCTAGTTTTCGTTTTTGTTGTTTCACAAACATAAATGAGGTGAGATTTTATATCCAACCGAATGTTATCCAAATATTTTTTTATGTTGTTTTTATATCTAAAACAAAAAACGTTATCTATATTATATTATAAAAACATTTAATTATTAAAAACTATTTTTTATGTACAAATACTATTTATTGATGCATATTACTTAAAGTTTAAGATTATAAGTAAGTAATTATACATAAGTACAACTTATTAAACGTAATCAAATATTAAAATATTGGATAAACATCTCATTTTAAATATAAAAGATCAAAAATATAATTAAGATAATCATTGAGTTTTAACAAAATACTTAATTATTATCTTTATAAAAAAATATATTATTAAACCTAAATTAAATTTCTTTGTTACCAAACCTAAATCAAATTATAATTAAAAAATTTGAATTAAGGAAATTACACCAAAACACACAAACTTTTAAAAAAATTAATTTGATACTAATATTATTCTAAATAGACATGAAAACAAACATATCGCATGATTGTCATTAGAATTGTTTACTAGTTGTTCGTCAAATCACCTAGAATATTGGGCTTAGAGAATCATTCTTGAAATATTAAATGGGTTAGGGATATGCTATTAAAGTTATTCAGTAGGTTTGGACTATAGAAAAGAAAATTTAAACATTATTATAGTTGATTAAATTTTATATATAGTTGATATTTTATCATCTTTTATTTAAAAAAATAGACGTGATCTTAAATTAGATCAAATATAAATTACTTCGTTGTTGAAACTAAATTAAATTATAATAAAAAATTAAATTAAAAATTACATAAAAAATAAGGAATTTTAAATAGTTAATTTGATTTTAAATATCGATATATTTTTGTCAAATTTTTATGATATCTTTAAATTTATATTTTATTAAAAAAATAAAAACATAATCGTTTTTTTAAAAATCAAATAAGACCATATTATAACATCAATTGAAATAAAAAATAAAACAAAATATTAAAGTTAAGATGTATCTCATTGCATTGTATGAGTACTTTTCTAGTCAATATTAATAACAATAATAATATCTATGATCATGGACCCTGGAGGGGCCCAACCCAATTAATCGATTACATTTATAGCCCATTAACCATATATTGAAGTACTCAGTATGCATCTCTAACCCATTCCTATAAATTAAAGTATTAAAATTATATATTAAAAAAGATATTAAAAAATATTTAGAGGTCAACTTCTATTTATAAATATTAATGTAATATTGAATATTTGTAATCATATACATATGTTGATTAATATTTTATATTAAATTTATAATTTAATTATTTTATGATTTTAAATTGTAAATTAGATAGTTTAATTTTTTCTAATTAAAAATTAAACTATTTCATAAAAATGAAAATATGAGTTATTATATTATAGTTTCGGTTGACAAAACTTAAACATACATAAAAAAAACATTTGTATAATTATAAATCATTTAACAAATGAAATTTCATCAGCAAAAATTTAAAAAGAAAACATAATATTAGCTATAGTTTTGTGTTAGGATAATAACATAAAACCGAATACAACAACATATATTTATAGAGAAAATGATAAGGAATCTCACACTGAATTTCAAAATGCAGTAATTGAACATTTATGGAACGGGTATGTTAACCCGAAAAACTAGTATAGTTTAATTTATTTTTGGATGTATGTTATCTTTTAGAATTGAATCATTATAATTTAATTTATTATTAATTAAAAATTATCATTACAATTTTAATGTTGTTTCATTAAATAAATTATTTTTACAGTGGTAATTATTTATTGATTACAAAGTAAACTTTAATTTTGGTCCTTAAGGTTTAGTGTAAAGTCTAAAAATGATACATGAACTTTAACAAGTCTAGAAAATGTCCCTATGGTTTTCATTTTGTTATGAAAATGGTTCATTGTCACTAACTTCGTTAGTTTTTTCTCCGTTAGAAGGAGGAACATTTCCATCCATTTCATCTTTGTCTATTTTTGTAGCAAACCTCAAACTATAGGACTAACTCTATAATTAACTCATATAGAGGGTAACACCCGAAAAATTAAGATAAATAAAGTTATAAAGTTATTATTTATTTACACTTATTATATATTAGGATTACTAAAAAATAAGTTTAAGAAGTTTGGGGGATGTTTAGACCTGAATTAAGGAGTGAAAGAAGTTAAATGATAACAACTTGGACTCCTCACGAGTGAAAATCACGGCCCTGATCGTGAAATCCTCATAGCAGCTCGAAGCTAGAGGAGGAGGGGGGATCCGAGCGACCTTGGCACAACGACCATAGGTCGCGCGGCCTAGGTCGCATATGGTCAGACTGGTCAAAAAATGAGATTTTGGTCCTTGAGCTCATTTTTACTTCACCCACTTCCTTCGCACTCTCATTACTTCGATGATAATATCCTAGGGCCCTGATTTTGGAGCTTCAATACCATTTATGAGCATCGATTTTTCAGCAAGGATTCAAAGGTTTTGGTTTAAATCTTTTCACCATTTTCAATTCATCTCCTACATTAATGCTCTCACCTACCTCTTAGTTTCTTCATTAAAACTGATTTGAAGACTTAATAGTGCATTTATTGTTCATCTCCAAGTTTTCACAAGCTTCTAGACATCAAGATTTCAATTGTCGATCAAAATTCAGATTTCATCTTCTCCATTTTTGGGTTTTTACCAATTTTTTAGGTTTCTTTTCGGAAAACCTAGCAAGTGAGTTTTAAATGTTTTATAAAATTAGATACACATCTAAATGTGTTCTTTGATGCTGCTATTACAAGTTTTAGTTTCAAGTATTACACAACTATTTGGTGTCGGCATGTATCTTAGGTTCTAGTGCGTGGTCGTCAAGAAGGTTTGACCGGTCTTTTATAGAGAGCTTAAGAGCATTTTGAGGCGCCGGCTATTGAAGTATATTGGTGGTTTAGGTGATACCCAAATGTAATGTTATTTCTTTAAGGAATTAGATTAGGAGGTTGTCATCCTTAAACCCATTTGTTACATTTGTAATTAACTGGAATGTTTAAGTTTTCTTTTTGGATGACTCGTATTTTGATATTTGAATACCACATTTTCGGTTTCTTAGAAAATTTTTGTTGTCCCATTTTTGGGGTGTAACTAGGAGTGCTCAAAAACCCGACCAACACGATCAACCTAATG